TGCAGAAATAATGCACAGTGCCAGGCACAGGCCCACCATCAGACACCTATCATTTCTGGAGGTGGGCAAAGCAGAGGTGGGGGCAGCAGCCAGATCCAGGCAGCAATTCTGACTTGCTTCCTTTGTCTGCGCCCAGGAGCTGGGTTAACCTTCCTGAATGATTCACTGTGATAAGAGTCTGTGGCAGATTCTATGGTTTTTACCAACTCGAAGGAGAAAGCAAATAGCATGGGAGAGGTGCCAGCATCGGCAAAACTTCTTGGGAAGAGCGAAAAAAAGATAGATTCCAGCAAATGCAGGCGAGCAGGCTTGACGTTGAACCCAGCAAAGTTGTGGGGAGAATGAAGAATCTTTCTGTGAGCCCCAAGGTGGTTGCTAAGAGTCAGGCGGGTTCTGCATGGGGTCTGCCAGGCGACCGCCTTGCAGAGGTTGGGAGTTCTTAGGACCAGGCCGAGCGTCTGATCAGCTCACAGGGATGTCAGGTCGGAGGTGGGACAGGAGGTGGGATGCTAGAAAATGGAATCAAAGCCAGACAGGTTGTAACCAGTACAAGGAGTTGAGCAATCTTTGGCAACAGAGCTCTTGAATTCAAGAGCTCCAAGAAATGCACAATGGTAAAGACAAGTTCATGAGCTGGTTCATTCATTTATTCAACAAATACTTACTGAGCTGGAGTTGTATGCCAAGCACTGCTCTGGGCCCTGAGGCCTCTGCTGTGAACAAGATACAGCCTCTGCCCTCACCGAGGATACATTGTTGTGGGGGGTAAAGACATAAAGAGATGCTATATGATGGTGTAAGCACTAGGAAGAAAATGAACAGATTGATGGAGCAAAGAGTGCGTAGTAAGGGCCAGTGGAAGAGGGACACCTAAAAAATGGGCAAGAAAGGCAACTTTGCAAGTATGAAAGATGATCTGAGGTCTGAATGATGAGAAGGATCCGGTCAAGGGTTGATCTAGCCTTCCATAGGAAATGCAGAGGCCCTAGGGCTGCAATAAACTTGACTTGTTAAGGAATATTTATAAGGCCAGAGTGGCTGGAAGAGAGGGAGTCAAGGCAGCAGGGGGCCACGGGGCCACTTCGTGTGGTACCGTGGGGTCAGAAAGGAGTTTGGATTTTATCCTGTGTGTAATGAGAATCCACATGAGGGTTTAAGCCGGGGGATGGTTTGATCTGAGCTCTGAGAATGTCCTCCCTCTGCAGGCATGCAGTTTTCTAGAACAAATAACAAAAGAATCTTATTTTCTTGGAGTGGAGGGGGCAGGTAGGGAGACCCTTGATCAGGGACTTGTAGCTGTGCTGCGTCTTGAGTGCTCGAGGTGTTTGATAACGGCCGCCTTGGAGAAGTGGAGATGGGACGATAGTGACTAGATTGCTTTATTCCCCCAAAGTGTTGATCCAGGATTACTGTCATGCTAGGCGGAGGGTCTCTGACAGTGCCCCCAAGGCTCAGCTCTGGACTCTCAAGTTTAACATTTCTATCCGTAAATTGGCGGAAGACCCAGAAGACATGCTCATCAGACATGCGCTGACATGGAGCTGTCAGGGACAGCTAATGCCATGGACGACAGGCTCAGGATTCACTGCAATGATCCTCCACAGGTTGGAGTAATGGGATGAGCCCAGCCACATCCCTGATTGCATTCCGATTGGGGAGCAAAGCCCAGCCACGAAGCAGGGAGACCAGGAAGACCTCAATGGGTAACTCTCCCTGGAAAGGAAGTGGGGGAGTGGGGGGTTGTAGTGAAGGCAGTCAGACCCATCCGCATCCGCACAGCAGCCTCTACACTTTCTTGGTGACAAGGTCCTTAGCCTCTTTATGGCTCACTTTTCCCATCTGTAAAGTGGGAACGATACTGTCTATTGCCCAGGGGTGTGGAGAGGATTAAATACGAGTGTATACGTGAATGCCTGGCTTCCTGACTGGCCTGTAGTGGATTCATGGCAGATAGGAGGAAATAGGAGTTTGTAGAGGCTGTCCCAGGGAAGCCCGTGTGCTCTGGGGAAGACTTTCAGGGGCACACGGAGGACCCACAGCCAGAGTGGGCCCTTCTGGGAAGGCCAGCTTCCTAAGAGGCCCATTGACCCCTGCGATGTGTCCAGAGGAGAGTGACCGGGGAGTATGAACAGAGGTTCCTACTTGGCTCCTACCAGGTCCTCTCCGCCAGCCTGGCTTCTGGGTGGGGGAGGGGTGGGAGCATCCTCTCAGATGCTGAGAACGGACCCCCTATAGGGTGTTTTTTTGGTACAAAAAACCCCGGGGCCCTGTGGGTCTTTTAGAAGCTGCTTTGACTTCTCCTTGGAGCTGGTACTTCGAAGGATTCAGTGGTGAGACTTCTGTGTGTGCGTGTATTGTGTGATACTTTTATTAAAAAAAAAAAAAACAGAAACCGAACACAAAAGTAGAGTGAATAGCGTGTGATGTACTCCTGTACCGTCACCCAGCCTTTAGCAATGATCAATATATTACCCCCCCTACTTTTCCCTCCCGCTGCTGGATTAAATTTAAAGCAATTCCCAGACATAATGTTGTTTGTAAATACTTTAATATGTATCTCTAAGAGAGAAGGGCTCTTTTTTTGTTATGTGTAGCCGCAATACCATCATCATAATTTTTAATAATTAACATAATTGTAGTAAGTCTTTCTAATTCAGAAAATCTATTGGTATATAGCTTACATTGCGAGGTTTTTTGGGAGAGGGAGAGGCAAAAACTGGTCCTTCAAGTGTCTGGTTTCTGTGGCTCGAGACTCACCTGTTCCCTTTGAGGATGATGATGAAGAGGAAGAAGGGGGATCTAAAACTTGGGATGGTGGATTGGCAACCTCTTTATTCTGATTGTTCCCAGGGACACCTCGGTGACAGTGGGCCCTATTTATAGACTAAGTGTAGACACAAGAAGAAAGTAAGGAAGGGAACAGGAGAGAGGGCACGGCAGAGAGAGAGAAGAGAGAGAAAGGTGGGAAGAGGAAAGCGAGAGTAGAAGCTGGCCTCGCCTCATATGCAGGCTTGCGGCCCCCCGGGAGCCTCGGGGCCAGCGCACTCGCACTGGAGCTAACGCGCACAGCCAGCACGTGCTGAGTGCTTCCTGTGTGCAGGTATAGTGCTGAGCTCACACGTGGCTCACCTCGGCAAGTTCTCACACCACCCATGGGGTGGGTGCGACTAGTGTCATACCCATGTTACAGGGGAGGTCCCTGATGTTCCAGGGTGGCACATGAAATAAGCAGTGGTACCCGATTCTCCTCCAGGTCTGTTTGGCTGGAATCTGCTTTATCCTGCCACTGCTCCCTGCCTCCAAACCTGTGAGGCTACATGTGGGGTTGGTGTTCAGGAGGCACGGCTGTCTCGCTTGTTAGAATAATGACATGTTTCCATATCCTTAGGTCTTTTCCATGCTTCCCAAGGGCCCTGGCCACCCGGCTCCCTTTCCAGGACCCTCTAGGCCTCATCAGGGCTCGGTAACTAAGGGGTTAATGCCCAGCACAGCAGGAAGCCTCTGGGGCTGTAGCCTGTGCCCATTCTGATTGGTTGTCAAATGCACTGACTGTTCCCCTGATTCTATGTGTGGTGACAGGCGAATCATTGTGTGCCTGCATGTGTGTGTGCATCAAACACGTGTGAGTGTGTGTGTGTATTTGTGTGCACATGTGAGTGTGCAAGTGCTCATACACAAAGAGCATCACCGGCAGGCGCGTCCTTGCTGGAACGTTCTCTAGTCACTGTTTGCCAGACTCTCTGGGCTCTCGGAATGGCTTGTCAGAACAGGAACATGTGCCGGGCCTCCCCAACTGCAAAGCTCCACTCATAGGGTGCTTTAATTTTTCCCTCTGACTCTTCTTCATCATCTTCACTACCTTCTCCCAGGGCCAGAGCACAGAACACTAACAGAATGCTCTGTGTAGACCCCTCATCCGCCCTTCACAGGAGCCCATTGAGTAGAAGTAGCAGGTGGTTCTAAATTGGGTAGCCATGGTCCTCCTGGGAGTGCCAGGGAGGAAGGTGCCCCTTTGCCAAGGATGCTGGTGAGGCAGTCTGATCTACAAACCAAGCCAGCAGGATTACCATCCTCTCCCGCACCTGGAAAGTGCCAGCAGCCAGGAGCCTAGAGTCCATGGGACCATCAAGGCTAGTGCTGGCCATCAAGGGTCCAGCTGGGGATGCAGGTAGAGGCCAGTGTTTAGATACAAGGAGATGTTTGTAAATCTATGCAGGGACCAACCAGCTACTGGTGCTCCCAGGAAGTGAGGCTCAGTCCAGAGGCTACAATCTGGTCAGAGGACCAGCCAGCCAGGGTAGATGTGGGTATCCACAGGGCCACAGTGTGGAATCCAGGATCCAGGGGCCAGCCAAGCTGACATTGGTGTAGACATACCAGCTGACACTTGTGTCATCCTTACTCTGTGCCAGACACTGTCTGAAGTGCTTTGCATGTCTGTGATATTCCTGTTAACCAGAGGAGGAGGCAGGGGTACCGAGACGCTGAGCCACGGGCCCAGGGTCACACAGCTGGGAAGTGACGGAGCCCGAGTGTGAGCTCCAGCTGTCCCCTCTCCCACTCCACAGTCCCTTCTCTCACTCTGCCATTTGCAGTGAGTCTGGGGCTCAGCCTCAGCGCTCTGGACTCCAAGCTCCGAGCTGATGGCTCACTCCTGACCCCTTTGCTGCTGGTCTTTTATTGCTTCAGGTTTTGGACACTACGGATAGGGAAGGATGGATTGAAATTAAGGCTCAGCATACTCAGCAAGACGTAGTATCAGGAGAGGACCCAGGTGTCCCAATTCCCAGAACCGTGCTCTTGGTACTGTGCCCTCTGGCGTGGTGTAGAAACCTCTTGAGATTCCACTGCTGGTTCATTCTCTCTCCTGAGAAAGCGATAGATTTCTCTTATCTGGAAACACGTTTCTCCACCCTCTTTCCCTGGGGCCTGTGCCATCCTGCAGAGCCACCCCTAGTGAGCTGGCACTAAAGCCATCTGTCTTTCTAACCTGTTTGCAGAGCTCTGGAGCTCAGCAGTGGCAAAGATGAGATCTCCCTGTTGGTGGAGCAGGAGTTCCTGAGCCTGACCAAAGAGCACCTCATCCTGGTCACAGAGGACTCTGGGGAGCTGGAGGTAGCCGGCAGCTCTCCCGAGGGGCCTAGACAGCCAGCTCCCTGCCTTCTTGTGCCTCCTCTGGTGGCAGGCAACAGTGAGTGCCCAGGAGCTGCCATCATTGCTGATGACGAGCTTCTGGAGCCGAAGGTGGCCGTGTCCGTTATTGGCAGCCGGCAGGACTGCGATTCTGCCATGTCTATGGTCAAGGGCATCCTGCATGCTGCCAAGGTCAAGAGTGCCAAGGGGACAGAGGATGGGGGCCACAGCCTGGGTGCCTCCAACTCAGAGATCAGCAAGCTCCTGGCCCAGTTCCCACTGAGGTCCACAGAAGCTTCCAAGGCCCCCGACAACAAGATGGTGCTGGAGGAGACCAAGGTCATCAAGGACTTCCTGCAGAACAGCATGTTCAGTGGCCCTGGACCCGGAGAGCCCGCGGGGCTGGGCCCATTTCTGCTGCTGCCACCCTCGCCTCCTCCCGCGCCTCCCGACAAGCTCCCCGAGCTCCCTGCTCAGAAGAGGCAGCTCCCAGTGTTTGCCAAGATCTGCTCCAAGCCCGAGGCTGACTCCCCCATGGAGGGGCACCGCTTGATGGGTGAGTGGGGCTGGGAGCAGGGCTACCAAGTGGGACTGCAGGGAGGAGAAACTTAACAGAAAGCCATCAGCTGCATACAGCATCATTGTTCAGAGGAGGACAAGGTGGCCTCTCTGGTGGGTGCAGCCCCCAGGTACAGGCTGTTTTCAGCACCCAGAGGCCTCCTCTGCTGGATGCCCATGTATGGGGCATAGCTTGTGTAAGCAAACCTGGCAGCCCTGATCCCATGTGCTTTGAGAAGAGAGATAGGCATATTTGGTATTCGGCTTGTTTTTTGAATCCACCAGGTATCCAGAGTACATTGAAGGAAGCATTTACCCCAGCTGAGTCCAGTTTCACCCTGGACTTTAGCTGGATAGGAGAGAAATTTGACTGGCACCTAGGGTCGTCTGGCTTCCAATGGAGGCACCTGTTCTGACTATGAGGCCTGGTCCCCACTCTGGGGCAGGGGACTGAACATGTAAACTCTCCAGGTGCCATTTAGACTGTTGGCCCTGGGATTTGTCCCCTGGGACTCCAGGGCCTTAGAATAAAAGTGCATTTCCATCCCCTAATTGAGGGGTTCACATCTTTCCCAGGAAATCCAGCCATCTCCCACATTTCCCCCACCCACTCCCAGGTTCTGCATTTTGTGCCTCTTCTGATCCAGCTACTCAGACTGATGGTTCCAAGAAGGCAGACTGATGGCAGTGGCATTTGCCTACAGTCAGCAGTCACTAGGAAAGTAGATCATACTCATGCCAACCAAAAGAAAAATTCCCCCCAGGCTGTAAGCATAGATGAACAACTGAGAGATGCCTATATCAGGAGGCCCCAAATCCATCCACCTAAGAAAATAGGGTCACCCTAGAGAATATTCTGTGTTCTGGAGCATTGTAGGAAGGCCAAGGAATCAGAGCTGTGGACAGCAAGCTAAACTCTGGGTCTTGGGCAGGCCCCTAGGAGCCAGAGGACTCTTTGGGGACAATGGACTGTATGTGTGAGAATCCTGAGCCCTCCCGGGAGAGAGGGGACTTTCCTCCCATCTCTTTCCTTCTCCAGGAGGGATGCTTGGATGTCTCTCTCAGGTGGGGTTGCTGGGTTGGGGACAGTCCTGTCCCACCCACCCTCCCCACCATTTGTGCGTGTCTATGTTTACAAGTGTGCCGGCAAAGATGAGTCAAAGGTAGCTTTGCAGGTGTGAGTGTATTTGTTAAAGAAAATGTGTATGTGAGTGTGTCTGAGTGTCTGACTGTCTTGTGTGTGTAGTTGTATACATGTGAGTAAGTCAAAGGAACGACAGGCAGGAATGTGTCTGTGTTGTGTACACAGATGTTGGAAGAGGGAGCTTCAAGGTGAATGAGCGGCAAGCATCTTTAAGGCAACTAGAGGTGTGGGAGAGACTGCAGGTGTGTGGTCTCTGGGGAGATGCTATTATTAGTGGGTACTGTTATTTCAGCACACTGGCTGGAGGCTAAACGAGGCAACCAGAGAAACTCTTGGAAGAGACTCTAGGGACATGTTTTGCTAAAAATGTCATTTTCTCCTAAATTGGCTCAGCCTAGAGCAGCTCTTCCCTTTGCTGATATGGATCTAAGAGGACAGGCCCAGTCCTGTCCAGACTCAGCCACAGGTCCACTGGGCTGGGAGGCAAGAGCTGGTGGGATCAGATCCGCTCCCAAAAGGTAGCACTGGGCACAGGTCCTCTGATCTGGCTGCCACCGGAATGTTCCAAGGAGCCTGCTATGTGTCCAGCACCATTTCTCAGCTAGGCTCCATGGAGACCAAGACCTCCAGGTCAGGGAAGGAGTGAAGGGCGCTGAGAGGGCAAGGTCCTCTTCCCTGCTTCAACCAAGCAATGCCTTAAAAACATACACACATGTATATATAATTCCCCTCCCATACTTAATTTTGTTTGAAGGAAGAGTTCCATTGCTGAAAAGGAAATACAGGTGAAGACCACAGCTGTGGAGGGTCCCATGATCGTCCAGACAGTGTATTCACACTGGGAACGCTGGGTCTATTTGGAGAGAGTCCTGAGCCTGGGACTGACCACATCCAGTGACTCACTAAGTCTCTCTGATGCCTTTGCCCACAGTCAGCCAGGCCTGTCCGGCCTCCTCCCCTGTAACCCTGGATGTAAGTCCTTGCTGAAGGCCCACTTCCTCCTGGAAGTCCTTTCACCCTCTCGGGTTGGAAGCTGTCTCAGCCACCATCTTCTCCCACTGTGTCTCCCTATCACCTTAAGGTCCCCGTCTGCCTTGTCCCAGAGCTATTTCTGGGTCTGTCTCTCTCTCCCTCCTTGTGGTGAGCTCCTGCAGGGCCGAGGCTCGCTCTGACTCATCGCAGTGTCCCCAGCACTCAGGTCAGGGCCTGGTGCTGACAAGTGAGCTGAATCACCTGTGAGCAATGAAGCAGGAATAGAGTCCATGGATGAGGGAGCAGACTGCGGCTCAGACTGCGTGTTCTGTAGGGAGGTGTGTCTCCCCCCATAAGTCGAGTGCTCCCTGAGGACAAGAACTGTGTCTAAGTCAGCTTTATATCCTGAGCCTGGCTCTACAGAGGGTTGGAAGGAAGGAAAAAAGGAGGGAGGGAGGAAAGGAAAAGGTAGGAAGGAAGGAAAGGAGGGAAGGAAGGAGAAGGGGAGGACGGGAGGGAGGAAGGAAGGAGGGAAGGGAGGAAGATAAGACTGGATGGATGGATGCATGCATGTGAGCATGAGAGGGGAAGACCAGAAGGGACAATGGTCAGTGAAGGCTCCAGGAAGGAGATTGGGATTGGATCTGGCTGGAGAGAGACCCTAGAGTGGCCTGAGCTTCAGGTGTGTCCTATGAAGGACCCACCACTTAGATCACAAGAAGGTGTTCCCTGCATCCAACACTTGGCCTTCCAAAGCCATTGACTCAGTTTCCCTCTCACTGTAGAACGGAACTTTGGTGCCAAGGAACCGACCAAGGGTCAAGAGAGCCTCTTTCTCAGTCAGTGGCCCCAGAGCCAGAAGGACACCTGTGGTGAGGAGGGTTGCAGTGACCCAGTGGGCTCCATGTCCATAGCCCTGCCAGCCAAGAAGCCTGCATGGCCAGCCAAAAAGAACCTGCTCTATGAGTTCCTTGGGGCCACCAAGAACCCAAGCCGGCAGCTGAGGCTTCGCAGCAAAGTGGAGGTGGATGGGCTGAAGCTGAAACGTAAGCTGACCCTGCCCAGAGAGAGTCTGTAGAGGAAAGGATTTTGGAAACCCTCATGGGCCCTGGGAGTGGCTCTGCCATCAAATGGCTGTGTCATCCATGGGCAGGTCACTGTCTTTCTCTGGGTGTCAGTTTTTAAACCCATACAATGGGGGAAATGACTTTCTCCCCATGCCCTTTTTTGGGAATACAATTGCTGGAGAAATGCAGTTGGCTTTCAGGGATCATGTGGGCATTATTATTATTGGTGGTCAATTTGAATACAGCCCTAACTCAGCATATATCATATCCCCTCAAGTTGGCCAAGCCAAAGAAAGATCTATGCTTCAGATTATTCCTACGCTGAGATTATCCGTGTCTCTGCTTTCTCTCCCTTGCCCTCCTATAACTCCTTTAGGCAAACCTCCTTTCCCAAAAATGATGCCAATAAGGGGAAACTGAGACCCATCTCTAACTCTATAAGCCTACAGAACATATTGTAGAGGGACAGAAACTGAGATTCATATCCTGAAACCACTCAACCAAATCTTACTCATTCAGACTAATGTGGGGTCATACCATCCTGAATTATATAATGTTTTAAAATATTCAAAAAAAATGATTCCAATATAGATACAACAACCTGTGTAAGGTCCTCAGTGTTGCCAAGTAGATGTCCTCAGGGGGCTGCTTGAATAATTTGATAAGAATGACTTCCAATGTCATAGCAATTGTTTGTATAAAACTGGATTTTTCCAAAGCACTTGAAAGACCTTGGTTTTGTATGTAGGTGGAATACAGCCCTAACAATCTGGTTTATTGTATTCTCTTGGTAAACTCCCTCCTTTACTAGTGAATGATGGAGAGAGAAGCCCCAAGCCAGACCTTCCTGGGATTTTCACGCCTTCCTAATTGGCAAGGTGTGAACTAAGGATGTTTTCCTATAGTTGGAAATTCACCCAAACTTTGAAGAACCCTGTGGGAGTTTAAAACACCTGACCTCTGAGAACATTCATCCCGGGAGCAGTCATGGTGCTGAGGGCATCCTGGCCTCCCCCTTCCTCAGTCACTGAAACGCTCTCCCTCTCCTCTGACTCTCAGTCAACCCACCTGTGACGGCGGCCGACAAGAACAACCTCAAGTACACGGGGAATGTTTTCACTCCGCGCTGTGGCACCACCTTGACCTCAGCAACCATGAACCAGCCACTCTGGCTCAACCTGAACTATCCACCTCCGCCTGTGTTCCCAAATCCCTCCAACTTCCCACAGTATCAAGTGAGTGAGTGGGGCCTGGGCCTGGCTCTCCACATGGCCATCCACATGGGTCCTGGCCACGGAGGAGCTGTGGCTTGCAGGGAGCCTAATTCACAAAGAGCCTTAGACTCATTAGTTAATTTCATTGTGGCCATTTCGATCAACTACTTGGTATACACACATACACATGCATATGCATGTGTATTTCTAATTTTCCTTCGTCTGAATTCCAGTTCACTCTGGGTTGTGTATTCCAGAGCTGCTTTGAGTTTTGTCCTGTTAAGTACTTGGGCTCCCAAGATGGGATAATGGCCTAGTCCTTGTTTCCCACCCACCTCCTGTGACTTCCTTTATAATTGGATGACACGCATCCTGGATAACTTGGGACGGTCCCAGTTCAGGTCTTTTGTCTCAGCGTAATTGTTAATAGCATCCCCTTTCTCTCAAGTGACCTGGTGTGGATGATTAATTAAATGGCCACTTACTTAAACTACATCCAAGCTGTCTTAGCTGGTACCAGCTAAGGTGACTTGGTAACATTCTTGGTCTTGGCTTCATAGCTAAAAGGGAATTAGTGGCCAGACCCAAAGGGATGGTGAAACACTTGTTGGGAATTTTACTCACGGAACTTATTTATGCAGGGAAAATGTAGTTTCTTTAGTTAGTCTATTTAACTTAATCTCCCTTAAGAGCTGCCACCCACTGGGTAGACGGAGGGAAAAATCAAATAAATGTCCACTCTGGTTTAAACCATCATCCAATCCAATAGCTTAAATAGTCCCTTTAGGTAGCGCTCCAGCTCTCCAGGAAAGATGCTCATGCCTAAGATTTCTCGGCTTCCTGTTCCCCTCCCCGGCTCCTCTCCAGAATGGCGTTCATGTGTATGAGGAAGGGCAGGATTGCACAGTAGTTTGTGGGGCCAGGTCCTTGGGAATCTGCTGTCCCAGCCTGGCCCAGCACAGCCTGAAGAGTGCAAATATGAAGGAAATCTGCCCGAAAATCGTCTTGTCCTGTCTCTGTGCCCTTCCCCTCCCTCTGCTCTTACGGGTCCCCATGTCATTTCCTCCTTTATGACAGAGCAGCAAGGCTTCCAGCTTAGATCTTCTCTAGTCCATATAAGCCCTCTCTGAGTTGGTCCCCTAGACTTAGCCCCTGAGTCTAAAACAGGAGCTAAAGGAGTTTAGCAATGTCTCTCTTTTTCTCTCCAAAGTTTTGTTTTCAAGCCATTTTTTTTTTGTTTGCTAAAGAGAAGAAGTGCCCACCCTCCCCTCACGAGGGACAGAAAGCCTCACGCCCACCGTTGAGGTGAGAGGTTGTCATGAAGTGTGATCTGAGGGGAGATCCAAGGGCCTCAGCTCCGTGTGTCATGTGTGTCCTTACACAGGCCTTGAGGGAACTGCCCTGGTTGTGTACTCACTGAGTCTCCAGCTCCTTCACTGTGGCCCTCTCCCCTTGCATTTGTGTGTCTGTCCATGCGCTGTTCAGCCCTTGATTCACCAACCCACTGATGTATTTATTTACTCATTGATTTAAGTAATTTTCAAAACCTCCGCTTCTCACTGACGAGAGGCCGAGCATTGGCGATGTGAGGGGATCCGAAGAAGACTTGGAAGCTCAGGTCAGCACAAGTCAGAGCAAATCCAAGACCAGCACCGTGCGCACCCCCACCTCTGAAAGAGGGACAAGTACACACTTTTATGTGGTGTAGACCGAGTCACTCTGAAATGCACTCACAGGGCTCACGGTGTAAAGCTAACCCACAGTGGTTTGCTTTATAAAGAGAGACTAATGTCTCTCTGCTGTGTGAACTCCCTCCGGCTTGACTCTTGGGAGTGGGTGAGATTTGGACATATGTTTTGAGCATGAAGGTCCTTCGTCCTCAGAGATGCCCGCGTTTGCATCGGCAGGGCTGACTCCGAGGTTCCTCAGGCCTCTGGGCAGAAGTAGTGGAGGGCCCTGGCTGGTAGGGTCCCCTGGGTGCTATGGGGCAGTTTAGGCCTGAATGGGCCCAGCTGAAGTCAGCTGTCGAAGTTGACCCTCCCGGGCAGTAGTGAAAGACGGCGTAATTTACCTTCTCCCAGCTTCTCATGATCTTATGCCATCCAGCTTCAGGACGGCTGATCGAGGGACCTGATATAATAAAAAGAAGGCGGGTTTTGGAATCGGCTGAGACTTGGGTTTGAAGGAATTCAGCTGCTTCTAAGCTGTGTGGCCTTGTGCGAGTTACCTAAATGCTCTGAGCCCTGGTTTCCTCACTTGTGAAATGGACTCATAGTAATTACAGCAGCAGGAGCGTGTACCCGACTCGGTTGTAAGGTTAATTGAGTCCACGGATGGGAAAGGACTTTGTAAAAGCTAAAGTATGATACAGACCTTGGCTTTTATTACTATTCAGCCCTGTTCTTCCTAGGAAACAGGGTCAAGTTGTTCCACAGACCTTGAGGAGACAGAGAGGAGAAATGGGGAACAGTCTATCCTAGTCTCTTTTTCTGCTTGGCGTTAGGAATAACGATGAGATCCCAAGTCCTCAGCACTGAGGGGCTTTGGAGGCTCCTGGGCTGCTTGGCATAAAGGAACTCTGCTCCCAATTAAGGAGGGAGGGTGCATGGGAAGGGGCTGTGGCCTCAAGCAAAGATGAATGAATGTTTATTTACCCCGGCTTGTGATTTTACAGAATTGCAATTCAAATAACTAGAAATATTCTTAAAGTCATATGGTGTTGCTCATACTGATGAATATGGCACCGTCTCCTGAAAATCCATCCCAGGATGGAGCAGAGATGGGCAGCTGTTTGTCTTCCACAGATCCTAGGGGTAGCCTAGCCTGGGTGGGCTGGGAAGATGGTGGCCTGGGGGAGTTGGCTGTGCAAAGCAGAGCTGAGTGCTAATGGGGAGGGAGTGAGACAGAGGAGGGACACTTAGTACCTGGCCTTGGCACTCACTGTGGGCTGGGAACAGGCAGGGCAGCCCCATCCGTCTGACTTCTCTGTCCAGGTTCAGGCCACGGCTGGGGTTGCAGGGACCAGGCAGTGGCCATGGTGGTGAGTGGGGCTGCCCCGGGGTGCAGGGCTTGGAGAGAAGCGGAGCAGGTGCACTGGTGTCAGGTGAAGGGGTTGGTGGAAGTGAGAGGAGCCCGACCACGGTCAAGTGTCAGGTGTGTGGGAGCAGAGAGAGAGGATGGGCTCTGAGAGGCTGTGCACTCTCGGCGACCTGGAAGATGGGGCACTAGGAGAGCTAGGAGACTTTCCCCTAGACCCCATATAAGGACTTCCAGAGCCTTTTGTGAGGAGTCCATGGGCTCTGAGGAAGTCATCAGGGGCTCAGCCTCAGCCATCAACACTTTGATAATGGGTGCAAGCTGAGCCCAGAATGGAGGCAGCATCTCAGGGTGCAGAATCTTCTGGAAAGACATACTGGTTGGAGAGGTGCTTTGAGCTTTGAGCTGCATCTTAGGAGATAATTCTGAATTGGCAGGTAGAGGCAGTCTGAGACTGCAGGGCTCATGGGCTGACCCCACCCACAGCAGCAGTTCTGCTGTGTGTGTTTGTGTGCGTGTGTGTGTCTGCACTCACACACACGTGCACATGGGCACCCAAGACCACCCTGGACAGAATTGTGAAGAAAGTTTCTACTTCCCATTTGGCTGAGCTGCCAGAGAGCCTCTTCAAGTGTGAAGGCGGGGCACTGAGAGATGCTAAGAATACATAACATTTACAGAATCCTTACTATGTGCTGGGCACTGTTCTAAGCCCTTTAGATGCATTCACTCATTTATCTTCACACCAGTCCTCATCGTAAGGTACAGACACAGACGTATGCATGGGCAAAGAGACACAGAGCAGCAGAGACCCAAACTAATACACCTGGGTTCACAGATGCGCATTTGTACACAGAAACACACAGCTGCAGACACAAATGGAAGCACATGTGCAGATGTGCTTAGATAAACATGGATGCAAACTAACATACACATACACACAGACGTACATGGACACCTCATGTCATGGGGCAGGAAGGGGGTTTGGGAAAAGGCACTTAGACAAGGGGCGTAGACAACAACAAAGATAATTTGGCTACCTGCACAGGCTTTGCAGGCTTGAACACACATAATTTTATAGACAAGGGAAAAGAGGCTCAGAGAGGAGAAGTGACTTGCCCAAGGTCACACAGCCACTAAAGGACAGATCTGGGATTCAAGAGGCAGTCAGGCTCCTGAAGCTCTTAAATACTCACCAAAAAGACTGTGAATCCTGCTAAGCAGGGGCTTCCCGTGTAGTGTGAGTTGCACTTGCTCGGCCTGATTCCAGCTGGACCAGGCAGCTAGTGGGTCTGGCCAGCATTGTGGTGGGATGGACTCAGCCATGTCTGGGGATCCAGGCACATGAGCCGGAAGTTCAATGGAGGGGCTGCTGCTCTCTGGCAGGGAGCCCTTTGCCCCCTGGCACTGAGCCTCTGCCTTCTCTCCCCAGGGCCTGTACCCCCAGCAGGTGGCCAGGATGCCCTTTCAGCAGGCCCAGCACACCCCGCTGGGGTGTTACTCCCGACAGGTGAGTAATGACCTCCCCCCGTCCCGGCTCCACGACGGCCTTCAGGTCGGAAGGATGTCTGCTCCCTTATCCTTGTCTGTCTGGTCACCAGCCATACATTCTGTCCCTCCCCTGGCCCCAGAGAACAGAGACAAATGCCAACATGTGTGTGGAGACGCAAACCAGGGTCCCTATGTGATCATCACAGCTGCACTACAGAGCCCCTGCTGTGAAACAGGCCCACTCTAAGGGCCTGACCTGCATGAACTCATTTCACCTTCACAACCACCCTATGAAGTAGCTTAGAGATGAGGAAACCGAGGCACAGAGAGGTTAAATACCTTGCCCAAGGTTGTAAAGTCAACATATAAGTTAGCTTTTGCACTGACAACAGATAGCTTCAATATCTCAGAGCCTTTCAACCATAGATATTTATTTTTCACTCGTGGGTCTAAGGTTGGCTGAGCTGGGCTAGGATTGGGTTCAAGTTTGTCCCGTGTGCCCTCCTTTTGGGCCAGGCTGAATATACAGCTTTTGCTCCTGCCATGGTGGACAGCAGGAGTGCAGGAGGGGTGAGCAGAAACACCCAATGCCTCTGAGCGCCTCAGTGTGGAGCTGGTACAAGGTTGTGTGCGCCCACCTCCCGTTGGCCAAAGCAGGTCACATGGCTTTGCCCACCATCAATGGGGCTGCAGATTCATAATCTTCCCATGTCACTTTGTCAGTTAAAATACAGGACACCCAGTGAAATTTAAATTTTTGATAAATGATGCTAGATTTTTAGTATAAGCGTGTCCCAAATATGGCATGGAACATACCAGTGCTAAAAAGTTATTTGCTGTTTCTCTGAATTTCAAACTTAACTGGATATCATGTATTTTTGTTTGCTAAATCTGGTGCCCCTCCTCCCGTGGGTAGGGTGGAGGTGAATATCTACTTGACGATAACACATTGCAGAATTGGGGTTTGACCTTGGACAGCCTGGCTTCAGGGTCCACGCTCCCAATCACCGTGGTTCACTGCCTCTTGTACACAGATACACAAAAATACAGTATCAGAACAAAGCAGCAGAGACAAAAATACAAATACACACAGACACAGGTAAAGATATAGTGAGATACATACCACCAACCTGCACACGTGCATGCATGAACGCAAAACACGAAGAAGCTTGTTCAGAGGAACTGAGTGTGTTGGGGCAGGGAGGGAGCTGTGAGGACAGGAAGCGGGAACCTGCAGCCTTCTCAGGCTGTTTCTGCCCCCTCACACACAGTGGGCAGACCCCACGCTCAAACTCACAGACTCCTCAGCCTCTCCTCTCTCCCCAGGGAGCCCCACCCTTTCTCTGCACCCTGCACCTCTGACCTGAAGTATGTTAGAATGTTCCAGAGGACAGAGAAGAACCCATAGGTATAGGTGACTTTATCACCTGGGCCAGGGCCGCTTTTCCAGCAGTAGGGGCTTCGCATCCTGAGATGAAGTAGAGACGCGAGTCTGTCTCACAGAATCTCAGCCATATCTCCTCCACCCCACGAACGGTGATACTGTCCACGGAGCTCCAAAAAAAAAAATGCTTTTAGATAAAGTTATGTATGTGCATATATTTGAAAAAGCAGTATAGGAACATGATACAAAATAAAAACATCTTAGAGGCAATCACTGCTGCTGGTTTCTTAGGTATCCTTCCGGGGATATCTATTTATACAAACATTTTTATACAAATATGGCATTCTGGGTGCACTGGTCTATTGTTGCTTTTGTCAGCAAAGAGTCCATCTTGGAGATGGTTCCAGAGCACTAGATGCAGCTCTATTTTATAGGTTTTATCAGTTGCATGTAGTGAGGGGTACATTTTTGAATAAAGCTGGTATAAGCTCTAGGACCCACATCTCTTTAGTGTCAGCCTCTTCCCACGTCCGCCCGCCCACTGTGAAAACCAGGGACATTTCCTGCCACGCTGACCCACAGGTGTCTGTGCTAGGAGTGCCTCCCTGGGTCCTCTCTCTGAGCTCTTGGCTCTTTCTGACCTTTAGCTCGTCATCTTGGGGTTTTGGTGGCCCTGTGCAGCATCAGCAGATCCTATGTGTCTGTGGGGGATAAATGGGGAGGTCCAGAAGGGAAGGTCTCAGGCTTCCAGAGGGAGCAAGCGCAGAGATGCCATACAGGGGCCCAGGCTGCAGGCTCAACCGGCTGGGGTTCTGACTGCAACTCAGACACTTGAAACACTCCCAAAGCAAGTCATTTAACTTCTTCAAACCTAGTTTCCTCATCTCTAAAATGGGAATAGTAATGGTCCTACCTCACAGGGCTGTTTGGAGTTTAAATGAGAGAATCCATATGAAGGGCCTGGCACACCCTAAGCACTCAATGAGTGCTAGCCTTGGTGAATTTTGGATTATATAAGGATGTGCAGAGTGAGAGACGGTTGTCAGGGTGCTGAATCCCTGAGCAGCTTGGACCCCAGATCCTTGCTATTGAAGAGGAAATCCAGAAGCTTCCTCCATTTTGACTGAACTCCCCTCAGCACAGGAGGATGGACATCAGCTCCATACAAGAGAGGGTTTTCTGGCGTTTGGAGCTGTCCATAGTGGAATATGGTGTACCTGTTGTAATGAGCTCCCTAACATTTTAGGTATTCAAGCAAACACTTACTGGTCCCTTTTTTCCTCCCTCCTCTTCCTCTCTCTCTTTTTCTTGCATTCTTTCAATTAACATATGTTTATTGAGCAGCTACTATGTGCCAGCCACTGTCTTAGGGCTGAGACATCAGTAAATAAGACCAAGGGAGCCCCTGCGTTGTCAGGGGCAAGATAGTGGGAGCCCTGGTTCTTAGTGGGAGTCTGACCCTGGTAGTCTCTGAAAGCCCACTGGTTCCTATTTTTCTCTAGGGTTTGAGCCGAATCCCACTGCTCCGTTTTGCCGTTTCTCCTAAACTCACACTGTCCAATATTGTAACCACTAGCCAGGTGTGGCTATTTAAATTTAAATCAATTAAAGTTAAGTAAAATTTAAAATTCAGTGTCTCATTCACACTAGCCACATCTCAAGCACTCAATGGCCCCGTGTGGCTGCTGGCTCCCATACTGGGCAGTGCCGAACATTTCCTTCATCCGTCACAAGAGTTTCCACTGGGCAGCTGTCTTGGACTTGGAATCTGTTGAGATCCTGAGGTGGAAGCCAGGGATGCGTAAATCTCAACAGCTTTTCTTGAGACAGTAAAGACTTAAAAATGAGCGAGTGACATCTGGGATGGTTACTGACAGAGGGAAAGGTAGGGAGACAGGAGGAGAATGGAAATAATATTTATTTGCTATGTATTATGTGCCAGTCTCTTTTACTTCTATCAACAGACTCAGTCCCCATACAATAGAGATAGTGTTTGCCCATTTTACGGGTGAGGAAACTGAGGCTCAAATAAATTAAGCAACTTGCCAGTCTCACATTCAGAAGCTGAGCCCTGTGCCTTTTCCATGCCAACATGTTGCCTTCTGTGTACCCCACGGTGACTGAGGGGCACAGGGGCTGGGGTTAGGGTTAGGGTTAGGGCTGAGGAGCTATGATGTTTGGAAGCAGTGGGCTGTGCTGGACCTAGCCCCTCTCCCCTCTCTGGCCTGCAGGTGACGCCGTACAATCCTCAGCAGATGGGACAGCAGATTTTCCGCTCTTCCTACCCCCCACTGCTGAGCTACGTCCCCTTCGTCCAACCCAACTATCCGTACCCTCAGAGGACACCTCCAAAGCTGTCCAACAATCCCCGAGAGCCTTCCCCCATGGCAGGAGATGGGCCGCAGTACCTCTCCCCCCCGGCATACAGGTGAGTCCTTGGCCCGCACTGGAAGTCCAGCTTGTACCCAGAATCTGCTGGAGGGGGAGACGAGTGCGCTGGGCCTCACTGGTGCTTTCTTGGTAGGTGTGTTCCGTGGCTGTGGGAGGGGAGGGCCCTGTGCCTGTGTCTGGAGGCCGCGTGGGTCCTGGACGGACCTGATGTGGAGGTGAGCAGGGTCTCCTAGGCCCATTTCGGGGCTGGGGCCCTGCAGTCTGCTTGCAGAAACGCAGCTGCACAGTCGGCAGTGGAAGGGCACCGCATCCACAGCAGGTGGCAGGTGGCGGAGCATGACGCATCTGCCTTTCCCCCTTTGCCTGGTTTACAACAGGACAGGGCCAGGTAATCTCCTTACAGCTCTCTCTCCCACTTACTGAACCCTGAGCGCCTTGCCAGGCTAATCTCCCGAACATCCCATTGACTTCCTGACAGGCCCTGCTGAAGGGCCTTCCACCGCTTATCAGGGCTGCTCACACTTTCCCACCAAAGTACCCCAAACAGCAGACGAGAGGGCTTAGCAGCAAACAGCCAACACAAACCCCACATTTTAGCTGAAAATTCCACACAAATTTTACACGCTGGTAAATTGTATTTGTTGTTTTAATATAACAACACGTAGCCGTTCATTTCCAGGCACCAAATGTTCAACTCGTATGGATGCTCCGAGAAGCTGGCAGTGCCATGTCGTTCCTGTGAATCCAAATCTCCCGGGCACACCCTGGGGAACATGGGCCCCAGTCTGAGAAATTCAGCCTATAGGATTACAGCCAAATTCCCTGACCCGACATTGCATCCCCTCCTCCCTGCCTCCCCACCACAGACCCTCACTGTAGAGTTGACCCTGTGTCCCCAAACTCTCAGCCTTTCAGTTTCCACTGAATGTCTCCTTAGAAGGGACCAATGCTAGAAGGAGGTCTCCATAGTCAGATCTGTTTGGGAAAAGCTGTGAGATAAACAGATTTCTTAACTATTGGAATTCTTAGATGGTTTAATTTCCTAGGGTGTGTGGACAGTGTTCAAGAGGGGGATCGATAGGGTTATTTGAACATGAAGCCCAAACAACCTTATTTTTCTCTTGCTTTCTTTTTTTATCTTTTCCCTTCCTCCTTGCCTCCCTCCATGCCTCTCTCCCTCCTTCTCTCCTTCTTTCCCTCCCTTCTCCCTCCCTCCCACTTTTTTCCTCCTTTTTCTTGTAGAGCATGTCATGGTGTGTTCCATCCAGCACACCCTGGAAAGCACTGCATCAATTTATGTAGTTAATATGAATTTAGCCTGTGGGTGAATAGGACATGTTTCTGCCTCCAGAGCACTAGGAGTGGGTGAGATGTGGGCACAACAATGTCAGTGCTGTGACACAGTGAAGACCATCAAAATGGCCGGAGGGAAGGATCCCTGCCGGGTAGACAGTGAGGCGACTGCAGAGTGGGGAGGTTCCAGTGAGCAGCGATTGGAGGAGGGCGTTCCAGGCAGGAGGAATAAGGCCCAGATGGGAAGGTGCATGGCAAGCTTGAGGCCTGGGGAATAAAAGCATCTGGTTGAAGCATTAGATTTATCCCTGAAAAAGGTGGAAAATAGGATTGGAAAAGGGAGGTTGGGATTGGATTTTTAAAGGCCTCTGACTGCTGGATCCAATGCAGATTTGTGCACGTTAGAGTGAATTTATGGGCTGGAGGGGAGAGAAACAGGAGGCAAGACAGGGTGGAGTCTGGAGGGGACTGGAGGGGTCTGCATGGAAGGTTCTTGCCTCCCTGGAGGTGAGAGTAGATGAGACTGCAGAGGGGTCAAGACAGACTACCTGCAGGCCTGCAAACCTCTCACATTCCACGTGTGACACGGGCGTAAGGGAGAAAGACTTGTTGTAGAAGCTAGAACTGGCTGCCCCTGGGAGAGAGCGTGGTCCCCAGGTCTCACAGTCAGCAGTTGGGAAGCTCTGACTGGGAGCAGTGAGAGCCCAGGGTTGAGACCTGGCTCCTGGATGCCTGCAGAGGAGCGGGGAGAGGAAAAGGGGCAAGCAGGAGACTGAGGAAGGAGCTGTCTCAGAAGTCGGAGAGCCTGGGGCCAGCCAGAGACATAGTGGGAAAAGGAGCAGAGTGACGGGGAGTGGGTAGCAGTCAGCAAAGTGGAATGGTGGCCAGAGAGGTTGGGAAGACCAGGAAAGTGAGGTCGGAAAAGCAAGACAAGGGGTGCAGGCCTTGGTCATTCAAAAAATATTTATTGAGCACCTTCTATGTGCCTGGCACTGTTCTTGGCACTGAGGATACAGGAGTGAACAAGACAAAGTTTTTCCTCCTCTCATTCTACGGGGAGAAATAGATAATAAGGAAATAAACAAGCAGCATCCATGTCAGGTGTGAGGGGTGAGGAGAGAGAATGAAGGGAAGTTTCTTGAGCTGAGATCTAAATGAAATGAGAGAATGAACCATGTATAAATATGGGAGGGGGCACTCTGGGTAGAAAGGACAGAACGTGCAAAGGCCCCGAGATGGGGATGTGGCTGGAGCATAATGAATTGAGGAGGAGAAGGGAATTAAAACCAGAGAAGTAGCCAGGGCCCTACTAGACAGAACTGGGAGGCCTTACGGAGTCTTCTTTGAAGAATAGTGGGAAACCACTCGGACACTTAACCTGGTAAGGACATGCACTAGTCCTCTATTTAAAGGAGATGATGGTGGCCAAGGTATAGAGTGGACTGTGGGCTAAGAGCTGGTGCAGGGGAGCAGGAGAGGAGCCTCTGTACCTGTCTAAGCAAGAGGTGCTGGTGGCGTAGACTAGGGCAGTGACATGGGAAAGGAGGCAAGTGAAAAGAGCTGGGGTGTTTATTGTCTGGGTAGAAGTGACAGGACACAGTGATGGTTGGATGGGGAATAAGGAAAAGAGAAGAGTTGGGCATGATTCCTGCGTTTTTGACTTGAGCAACCGGATAAGTGGCAATGCCAAAACACTAAGGTGAAGATGACTAGAGCAGGGATCTGATGGTCAAGAGTTTGGTTTTGCATATGTAAAATTTGAGATGCCTGTTAGACATATGAGCGGAGCTGTTGATAGGCAGGTGGATGTACGAGTCTGGGGCTCAGGGGAGAGGTGGGGGCTGGTAACATAAATTTGGGAGTCATTAGCATATAGATGATATTTAAAGGCATGGGATGAGATGAGATCACCCAGGGAGTACGTGCACATAGAGAAGAGAAGAGGCTCAAGGACTGAGCCCTGAGCTTCCAACATGTAGAGAGGTTGGAGACATGGAGGAACCAGCGAAGGATCTAAGAGGGAATGTTAGTGATGTGGGAGAAAAAATAGGAGTGTGGAGTGCAGGGAGCCAAGTGAAGAAAGTGTTTCCTGGAGGAGAGAGGGAGGGATCAGAGAGTGATGGAAAGAAAACCCAGGCATTGTAGGATGGAACGCAGGGAGCACTGAGCACAGTGATGGCGTTGGGGGGTTACCAGTGGTGCTGGATGGAACAAGGCGTAGGAGAGGCTGCACTGTGCGGGAAGGATATAAGGGCCTAAGTGGAGATTTTGGTCTAGAGACAAGGAGGTTCAGTGCTTCCTCTGGGTCAGGAGCAAAGGAGATCGAGAGACTAAACTAGAGACATGAGAGAGGAAGGAGCAGGTGGCCTCCAGGTTCCCAGGGAAAGAGGAGGGGCGCTCTCTCTTCCATCTGCCAAGTCGATTTGAATACATCATCAGGATAACCACACAATTTATCTTCCAAACAACAATAACTTTGAGAGTTAAAAGGAGCACAAATAATAATTACATTGGAAATACCAGTGTAGAGACTGTCTCAGGCAAACCAGGACAATTCACCATGCTCAAGAAGCAGTTCAGGCTCCCCTCCTCCTCCTCCAGGAAGCATTCCTTGGTAACTCTAGTCCACATGGATTGCCCATCTTCCTGGCCCTTTAATGTACATCCTGTCCAGACCATGCCCTTGGCAGTTGATCTGATCAGAAGTTCTCAACCTGAAGGGCTAGATGTGTGGGGTGTGACAATCAAATATGAGGTGTGTCTTGAGTAATTAACTACTGATAATTATTAAATGCGGAAGTGTGGGCTATGGCCTTTGTTTTGTAGATCAGAGTGGAACCCAGGGCATCTCTGTAACAACATCACCTTCAATCATTTCTTTTCCAATATGATTTTTGAAAGAGAACACAAGAGTTGGGGTTACCGCCGGTGTGAACTGCTTATCAGGCACCTAGCTCGTGCCAGGTCCTGGGTGAGCGCTGGGGTAAAATGGTGAAGAGCACAGACAATGTCCCTGCTCTCATGGTACTTACTTTAGTGAGAAGGGCATCAAACACGACCCAGAGCCTCCCCTGTCCACAGATGCTCACAGTCAGCGACAGATACGATCCCAGCTGAGGTGTGACAAATTAATGCCGTGGTTGGTTCCTGTTGCTTCTTCCCTCCTCCAGCTCCCCCTTGCCTGTTTCATCAATTCATGGGAGGGTGCCATGAACGTGAATGTGAACATCTTCTGTAACGTGCATCTGCCCAGCCGAAAAGCGACAGAATCCCTGGATTAGACTAAATCTAGCCATTTGCTCTGCTGCAATTTATACTGAGCTCTGTTCCCATTCATTCAAAGTATCCTGGCAGATGGGTGACCCAAAACTGCGATAGGATTCCAGCAGTGTGAGTAAATGATTCCATCTGGAGAGGTCAGGGAAGGCTTCACAGAGGAGATGGCTTTTGAACTCTCTCTCGAAGTATGAGTAGGACGGTGTCAGGGAGAAAATGTGGAAGAGTGTGTATTTCTGCTCTTAGCAGGTGAGGCTCAGATTTTCTCGGCTCTTCCTTCCTTGAGGGTCTAGCAAAGTCCCAGGCACTCAGCAAAGTCTCAATGCTTAATTCTTGGACTAGTATTGAAATGAAGGGCCCGAGTTAGATTGGTGCTGATAAGGGGAGAAAGAGACTTGGGGTTGTCCGGACTCCGAGATCTCACCCTGGGATGTGGCCCTGAGTTCTCTGATGTTGTAGAATTTCCTGAAGGACACACCTGGTCCTCTAGGGCAGGTAGAGAGGCTGCAGGCCCACAGGTAAGGTGCTCAGAGCCAGAGAGGCTCCCTGCTCTGTGGTCTTAGATGTGGCGAGAGTGTAAACCCCGTAGAAATAATCCCTGAGGGCTGCCAGGGGCTTCCTGATATAAGTAAGTGGCAGAAGAAGTTCCTTATTGTCCTCCAATTGTATCATTTTAATATTTCATTTTCGCAGAGCCAAAGCTTTTTTATTATGCCAAAGCTTTTAGCCTCCAAACCTGTCATGATCTTCACAGTCTTGACAGCCACAAAATTAATATATTATTTTTTCTAATATCTCCACTAACATTGGACATTTCATCATAATGTCTATCTTCTCTCTCTTCCAGGTTTGGCTCCACGTCTGGTGGGCCCCTGATGAACAGCCCCTACTTTTCCTCCAGTGGGAATGGCATAAATTTTTAGATCTCCTCCTCTTCTCCCTCCTCCTACCTTAGCCCTTGGATCAGGGCTAAGCGTTCTGGAATTCTGGATTCTGCAACAGCTTGGTATGAAATTTGGAAAGCCAAAGTTCCGACCAGGTCACAGACAGAAAACAGCAAGTCCAGATCGATCTATTGACCAACACTCACACACACGCAGCCCCCCCCACACAGCACAACTGCACACACACATCCCTCGTTTTGGTACTCACTTGCTCAACCACATAGGCACCTGTATTTAACTAACGTGAGTGATTTTTGTTTTTGTTGTTGTTGGTAAAATAGAAGTAAGACACTTAATTTTAGAAAGTTTGTGTTTTATGATAAAAGTATGAGCTGCTTGAACTGGAGTGTGCCTGTTTATTTTTGTCATGTTCTGCGTAATCTTCACTGCTCATTTTCTCCCATGAGACTCAGTGTTTACTCAAGACATGAGAAGAGACCACGGGCTGGAGTCCTCGAAGTGCCACTATCTAAATACAGGACCCCAGGGATCATAAACTTGAGGGCTTTTCTCTTCTCTTCTGTGATCCATTCACTTCTCAACATCCCAGTTTATGCATCTCAGGAAAGGATGTAAAAGAAGTGCACCTTCCTCTGTCCTATCCAGGCGGTGGTTTTTCAGAAAAAGTCTCTCTTGGGCACAGGATGGGAAAATGTGGCCTGGAAATCAATTCTAAAAATAACCCTAAATGTGACAGACTATATCCAGTGATTGTACATCAATGCCAAGCTAGAGGTCAACCTCAAAACTGCCCCTATTGGCACTGTCCCCGGATCTATATCAATCAACTTTTATCAGTGACTTGAATAAGGACGCTGAAACCATCCTCATCACATTTATGGAGGACACAAATCTGGGAAGAGGAGATGGCCTGAATGGGTGACGGCACATGTACTTTACTCTCCTATTCTATACCCATGACAGGCTCAGCTCTTCTCCTGAGCCTGGGCAAAGCCACAGCATCACTCTCCCTATGGTAGTCTAGGCAGCTGTCCCTGATCAGAGCTGGTCTGTGAAATGAAACTCATGTGCCATCCTTTGGCAAACTCTAGCAAGATGAAATTAAACAGAGGGGTTAATGTAAAGACCTACTCTTGGGTCTAAAAATGAACTATACACGTACAGGATAGACCAACATTGTCAGCTCTAAGTTGCTCTATTACCAACCTGTTATTCACCTGAGAGCTCAGCCCCACCCTGGCTGAGGCCAGTGAGAGCCAGGTCTGGGGAACATTGGGAGCTCTAATCCTGATCGCAATGAGAGGCTGGGGGTCTGGAAGTCACCGGTGTCTCAGGATGGGCTTATGCCCAGTGCCCACAAGAGCATTTCTCTTGCCCTCGCAGTGTGACACCTTTGGCCTCACTGGCCTTCCTTTCTGGGTTTCTGGAAACCAGTTTCTCTCCCAAGTTCTCTTAGGACTTATGCCCTCTCCCTTTCTCCATGGTCTAAACCTGGGATTCCCCCTGAATCCTTCAGCCCCTTTCCCCAAGGCTGGACCCTGCTTCTAGTATATCTCATTTCTTGTTGATACCCTCTGTTAACAGTCTAGATCCTCCATTGACTCTGAGAGACACTAGTCACCTAGAAGGTCTCACAAATGCAGCCCTTTTCTTCCCTGAGGGCTTCTTCACATTGTACGTCAGGTATTAACTCATGCTGGACCACAGTTTACCACCCTCTCTTGATCTCAGAGTGTTTGGAGTAAGAGAAAGAGATGGATTTGCCCTTGGCCAGACCTGGGTTCTTAGCCATTTCCCAACTCTGACCATGGGCAGAGAACTTAACCTCTCCAAACCTCAGTTCTAGTTGTGAGGATTAAAAGATAATGTAAACTAATATAGACTTAATATCTACTTAATGCAGACTTGTGGTTTTAAGATGGTGGAGTAAAGATGACTTTGTCCCTCCTACCTTGAAATTTACCCCCAAACAACAAGGGAGTAAGTAAACCTATACAAACTTCATTCTCAATGAAATAGGAGAAGCCACCCATCCCATCTGCTACATACAAAGGCAGAAATGGGATGGAGGAATGGTATATGCCTTAGCAGAACAGGAGAAGATCATGTTGAAATGCCTGCCAAGGGAAATACATCAGCAAGAAGCAAACCATTTTCCCCTGCAGAGCCCCAGAAGTCTCAGGAACTGCCGGGAGCTGGACACCAGGGAAGTGGGGCTGAAGAGAGATGAAGATAAGCGGTTGACGTAAGAGGTGGCTTCTATCCTGTCTCTTCAAAGCCAGGAACCACGGACAGTTCTGTAGGAGACAAGAGGCATTTTCTCTGGAGAGGGTTAAAGACCGTGCACAAGGGTTGTGGAGATGAGAGCCCAGATGGAAAATGGGGATTCAGTGAAATGCACACACACATCCAACACCAGCAGCTAGGCGTTCACCAAGAGGTGGGAATTTGGAGGGTCCTCTGAAGAAACTACATTGCCTCAAAGGCACTTGGAAGTACCAGTGAAAACACCCTGTGCCCTTTCACAAAGAGCTTCCAGTCAACTTTTTAGGACCTGAGGCTTAATAAGAATGGACAATCTCCAACGAGAAACAGATCAAAACAAAGGAAAAAAGGAACTAAGAAAAGAGAGACAGACCATAATATTCTCAGGGAGATAAGAGAAGATAGTCCATTTTAAAAATAAAGACAATATGCTATATGCCTATTTTAAAAAATCTGAACAAGAAAGTGCTTTTGAAATTAAAACAGGGATTGCTGATTTAATTTTTTCTTTGGAAAGGGTTGAAAGCTAACATCAGAGGAATCTCATGGAAAGGAAAATTAAAAAGACACAGGCATGGATTATAGGAGATAAAAGATTTAAAAAATGAGAGGGTCGGTCCAGGACACCAAATATCTGGCTAACAGCAGTTCTAGGCAGAACAGTGAAAATAGAGGAGAGGCAAGTATTAACAAGAAAAAAACACAAGAAAATTTCCCAGACTGAATGGTCCAGACCAGTGCTCAGCAAAATGAATGAAAAAGATCTGCATATTACTGTGAAGTTTCAGAATATCAGAGATAAAGGCAAGATTCTAAAATTTTCCTCAAAACTCCTCCTATATACAGATGTTCAAGATCAGAATGGCATCAGATTTCTCAACAGTAACATGGGAACCTGGAAGATCCTGGGACAAAGCTGTCGTCACTTCGAGTGGAAACGATTTTCAACCTAGAATTCCAAAACTAAACTCTTATCTGTGAAAATAGAATGAAGATGTTTTCAGATATGCAAAGTCTCAAAAAATTTACCTCCTTGCACTTTGTTGGGAAGCTAAGGGAGGATGTGGTCCACTAAGACAAGAAAACCAAGACAGAAGTCACAGAATCCAGGAAATGGGTATCCGATAGAACCTCAGCAGGAGGGAGGCTGAGGATACTCCTGGTGTGATGACAGAGGATGGTCTTAGCTCTAGAAACTTGAAGCAGAGCCTAGAAAGCTGCCACCACCACCAGTCTAGATGGGAGCAGGAAGTTGGAGACGTCAGATAGGACGGCTGTTGGTGGGGGTTGGGAGGGGCTGGAGGAAAAGAAAATAGACTATTCTGACAGAGTTGATTGTGTGGAAAATTGTATTGAGAGTTGTTTTATAGCAGTTGGTGGGGGTGGGATGATTTAACTATAAATTCAAATAATAAATGAAACAATTGTTATTAACTTGGCAGTGAACAATATTTATGTGGTCATAATAATAAAAAGTACAAATATGGTTTTAACCAAAAATTGTGTTAAAACTATAGTGGGAGGATAGAGGTGAAAAGAGGGATGTGACTAGGGCTAAAATCCTCATTTATCATAATAGGAAGTCAGTAGGTAATATCCAAAATGGATGATTCGAGAGATAGTGGAATTCCCATAATTATCTAGAAATCTGGAGGTAAATCCCAGAATAAGGAGCCAAGAGAGTTGCAGGAATTGACTGTGAGAAGCAGCATGGGTGTGTGAGGGATGGCGGGTGCAGAGATAACTGCCTTGTTTATGAATCGTTTAACACTATTTGGCTTTTACACCATGTGCGTGTATCACTTTAATAAAAATAAGCACTTATTTTAGAAAAGAGAGAAATTGCACTAGAACCCCATCCACTATGGTGCCTGGCACATTGTGGGTGTCAAAAATGCTTGTTACATTGTATTGAGCTGCGTTCTGACACAATTAGAGCCCACCGCCCAAGGCCCCGTCCAGGGACATCTGGGAATTGGATTCTCAGAAGCCTCTATGAAGTTTTTAAAGCCTCTATGAAGTTAAATAAAAAAATTATTTAGGAGGAAACTTAGTTAAGGGAGGGCTGGAGCCAATGCCCAATGCCTTTCCAACACATTGCACTCCCTGACTGCTTGCCTCTCAGGGAATTCCGGAAAAGGTTGGGGAGTTGTGGGAACAGGGACCCTGAGTACTTGCCCTGAATCGGGATCGTGAAGTCTGGGGAGGGATTGAAGACTCCCAGCTCTTCTCTGTGTTCCTTCCAGCCAACTCTCCACCCCCTTCATTCAGTACATAGTCACTGAAACTTATTCTCAGGGATACAGCAGAGGGCAAGGCAGACACAGTGTCTGCTCCCAAGCATTTTTAAGCTTAGACATTAAATCATGGTTACTATGAAAGGTGATGGGGTTATTAAAGGGATATATGAGAGCACATAGCAGGACACTCACCCCAGTTCAGAGTGTCAGAAAATGATGTCTGCTCTTTTAACATTCCTGGTCCCTGCATCTAATTCTCATCTGATAGGTTTTCAAGTCACACCCTCCAGTCTCCTTCCTTAGAACATACTTTATTTGCAAATTTCAAAACGAATGATAGTCCATGTGTGGTTTAAGCAAAAAAGTTGAGACATAGCATGTTTTTGTGGGTTCCAGAAATACTTAGTAAAATAATAACAGCTACCAATCACCAAGCACTTACAGTGGAACAGGCACATTGCTGTATACATCACTTTTATTATTTAATATAATGTTCATAATAACCCTGTAATATATGCATTTATTACCTACGCACAAACTAAGGTTCAGAGTGATTAAGTATCACAGTTAAGGTCACATGGTAAGTGACTCAAAGTCAATATTCTTACCCACTTTTTCTCACACTTCTCTGTTTCTAGTTACGCAGCCCAGAGTGAGTGAACTTTGTTGGAACTTTTATCATATACTTAATGACTATTAAGTGTTCAGACAACTAAGACCTCTAAGTCATTTTCCAGAGTTAGGCCAATGTCATAAAAAGTGGGCGGCAGGGGCTGAGGACTGGGAGGAAAGCAGCCATAGGGAAAGGAGGGGGTCACCTGGAGCAAGGAGATCAACTCTCAGCCTTGGAATTCCTTCTCCAGGACTTCAAGTTC